GTGTGGGTTGGTTGGGAGAAAAGTGATTTTTAGCAGCCAGAATTTTCATTTTAAACGGGTTGTTGTACTGAGTAAGAGGCTGTATCAGAAGTGTGTGGTGTTCTGGATGAGATATTAGATACTGTAGACAAGAAAAAAAAAAAGTAGTCCAATGAATGGAGTGGAGTAAGAAGGGCATGCTAGCATGCTATTGAAGTGGAGAGGAAGTTTTTTTTTTTAAAAAGACAATAAAATAAAAAAACCTGTCACAATTGGATGACAGCAAGAATAATATTGATATGTTGAGCAGTGAGAGAAGGATGAGGATTGGTCGTGTTAATATTTGTAGCTTTTGCTAAAAGGCAGAAACTGTTAATGTAGGGAATATTAAAGCGTTTGGGGGGAACATGTTTTGTTCTTTGAAAGAAATACACTGCTAGAGCTGCAACAATATCCCCATCCAGAAGGAACTTCTGCGCAATCCTGGAAGAGAATAGTTATCTCTCAGAAAACTGCCAAGATCAGAACTCAAATTTACAGTGCATGAACATTGATCTGATTCAGTAGCTGTTGCCTGTTGTCTTCAGCCATCAATTTATTCCTATGCCAGCCTGCTTCTACATGCTTGACTAAAAAGTCATATTTGCATGTGTATCTAGTCTGGGGTTTGTTTCATCAGTATGGTTAGATATACATTGCAGATGTCAATTTACCCCAAGTAAATGGAATACTTCTTTCCTAGGGACAAAACGGATTCCAAACGCTGTTAGAGATAATTTGGAGCAGATCTTGTAAACTACGGGGGAGATTCACAGATATTTCAGCTTCCAAATCTTTAAAATTTAAAAGAACTCTAAAATTTCAATCTCATGAATTACCTCAAAGAATAATTAATGCATTTATTCTCTAACCAAATGAAGAACAACTCGTTTTAAGATCAAGCATGTGAATTTTACCACTCTGAAATAGAAAGCCTGAAGGCTTCAACTGAAGTAGTTGTATGATAAAAGTTCCTTGTCTCAAAGGAAAACAATGTAAGGTTTGAAGCTTTAAAAATTTATGTTGATCCCATGCTTCCCAACCTGGAGGAGATTATTTTGGGTGTTGACTGACTGCAAGCCTTTGACCCTCTGATGTGGGTCAAAAGCCCAGGCTTGTAGTAGAATGGACATAAAGCTTCCAGTTACAAAACTAGGTAAAAGCCATCTGAATGATAATAAGCCAAGTGTGGCCCTACAGTAGATTGCCTGGGATGGTTAAGGAATTTTCAGATTTGGATGCCTCTGAGAGCAAACTAGCGGAAGATCAACTATGTGTTTGTAGTTGGTCTTGACGTAGTACTTGAGGAAGGACTAGATGCAATTAGACTGACTTTGTCAATTTATTCCTCTTAAAGAACACTTGTGCTTCCTGATTCTACTGTCTCTGCTAC